CAGCTGACAGCTCAAAAAGTTTTATCTCCCACAAAATTTCCTCGTAGCATGCTAATAATTTTTTCATTTCTCGTTTAGTAGAAGAAACACGCTCTTCGTTAGAGTCTATATTTTCTAAAATTTGTAATCCCTTTTCAATTGAACTGAGGCCTTCTGTCAAGTTTCCAACCGTCATTTGATCTTCTGATTGAACTGGGTCTAAAGAATCAAGTTCAATCAGAATCAATTAAAGAATCAATGTCTCGCTCTTGCTCACGCATTCCTATGAGTTCATCGATTGTCAGCTCCTGTTTGTGGGAATCCAGCAGTTCTTGAACGTCATCACTATCTACTTCTAAATTTATTTGCCTGGCAAGATCGACAAATTCTTCAATCACATCACCAATTCATCAGGCTCTGGCACTGATTCCGCCGAGTTTCAGTGATGAAAAAAAGGATAGTTTTTTTCCAGACACCATTTAAAGTTCTTTGTGAAGCTTCATTCCAAGATTGTCCAATGATTCTCACTGCATCTAAAACATTGAATTGTTTCCAAAAGTCTTTAACAGAGAGCTCGTTGTTTTGTCTCAATTTTAGAGTAAAAAAGTCTTCTATAAATGTTTTCTAAATTTCCCTTCGCTTTTTGAGATCTGGCTCTCCAAAATAATATCGAAAACAAATTCGAAACCTTCCGATGTTTGTTTTTCATTCTGTGTTACCAACACGTACAAACCGAAGCTCTGTTTTTGGGCTGCAATTTGAAAAAATTGTAGACCTAAAAATTCCCACTGTTGTCTGTCCGCCTGTCTTTCTTTAATCTCGAGAACGGAGTAGAAGATGAAATCCGAGACTAGATATTGGAAACCTTAGAGACAGGAGGTCCCGAGTAACTATAACTATACACGAACCTCCTATGTAAACCGGAAGCCACATTATTTCGATTAAAAAATTTTTCCGGAAACCGAGTTAGATAGGTGACCTTCACGACTCGATTGCTAAAGGAAAAGTATGATGTACAGGGGCAACCACTACTAATTTGAGGTGAAGACGATATGATAATAAAATGAATTGTTTTTTGAATAATGGAGGTCGAACTGTTTAAAATGTCTTCCGCGGACGTGGAGGGCATTTTGAGAAGTTCTTGTAAATTATTATGTTTAATTTTGTAAAACTAAATGTTATTCAAAGTAAATTTTTGTTTAATGACTTCATTGTTAAATACTATATGTGAATATCATAACTGCTATAAAAAAATAATAAATAACTACCAGACGTTTAGTTAATATTGAATAATGTGAAAATACATGAAACTCGAGAATTAATGGGATACATTGATCGAAGAATGGGTATACTGACATTTCTACCACTATACTCTCATATTTTTCTTCTGACACAGCCTAATAAGCACGAACCCGTGAGGTGTCAGCATGCCGCTCTGGGAGACCAGAAGAAAATCCAGACGAGTCGAAAAATTCCAGGAATTTTTGGAATGTTATTCATCAATTCAATTGTGATTGCTTAACACGTGGTTTGCAACATTGAATATAACACGTTGATTTGCCTTTTATTGGCTGAAGAGGGCATGTTACGCCCGAAACATGCATTTTAACTTAAATACGTATCAACTAAACTAAATAAAGATGATAGAAAGCCAAGTGTTTGAATTTATTACACTACATAGTGTTTAAGAATCAAAGAAGAGTCACAACACGGTTTCAGATTATCAAAAATTGTAAACTATTAGCTGTATAAAATATTTAGATGAAAATGATATTATTAGGAAAAACTGTGTCGTTTACAAGTATTGTGAAAGGATAATTTCAAAATCAAAATATGGAGCATGTCCTAGGATCTTTTCTTCCAAGAATCTAAGTCTTTGCTTTTACATTTTAGCTCAGTTCCAATCAAAGCACTCCGAAAAGATTGGCGAATGTTAAGAGTGGAAACTTCCAAACAGCCATTCAAAAGTTTTATTGATCATAAAAGCATACAGTAAAAATATAGCCTATTTGATAATTTTCAAGATATCGTTTTATAATTAGAAATGAATAAATACAGCCTTAATGGAAAATATCTATATGTGTCTATATAAGACGAATATAGATATTCTCTATACAGTATTTGTATATAGAAATTGTATAAATATAAATATTATAGAATGCGTTATTGTAAAAAACAAAAAAAATCTTAACAAGACTAGAATATATGTTTATTAAGCAATAAAGTTCTTAATTTCTTTTAAATAGTTGAATAAAATTGACATAATAAAAAAATCCAGCAACGAATTGTTTAACTTTCCCGGCAACATTTTAAAACTGCGTATGTTGCTCCATCTGTTATGATATTTTACTATTTAAAACTTTTTATATTTTTAATTACCTTATTTCTTCGAATTTAAACCGCACTTTTTACTCCAATTTTTATGACGTAAAATTAGGATGAGGCTTAAATTCATAGCGAATAATTTAACTTCTTATTTCTGCCGATCTACCACTCCCCAACAATCGGGTCTTTGCTTTACGCTCTACGCATATTGTGTATCATGCGTAGTATTATGATATTGATGACAGTTTATTCGGTGATTCCCCATTTGCGCTTTTCTGATTTAATCCAGTTGCTGTTTGAAAGCAGATGTGTAGAATCGAATTTTAAATTTTTTTATTACCCGTACTCACTAATAATGGAAAAACGGTTTATATTCAATATTATATTTATTTGAATTCAAAAGAAAAGTTATATCGTGCGTCGAAGAAATTGAAAATCGCACTACCGGTAAAAGATTTACGGTTGACGAAAAGAATGTGCATTGTTCGAGAGCCAGAAAAGAAATGTTATTTCAGTGTAAAAAAAGACAGAAAATCATTCTCAGGCAAGAATCTAAGTCTTTGCTTTTACATTTTAGCTCAGTTTCAATCAAAGCATTCCGAAAAGATTGGCGAATGTTAAGAGTGGAAACTTCCAAACAGCCATTCAAAAGTTTTATTGATCATAAAAGCATACAGTAAAAATATAGCCTATTTGATAATTTTCNAAAGATTTACGGTTGACGAAAAGAATGTGCATTGTTCGAGAGCCAGAAAAGAAATGTTATTTCAGTGTAAAAAAAGACAGAAAATCATTCTCAGGGCTCAAAAAGCGAAAATACCCTTTAATTGACGTAAATCATATATACTGTATAAAATCATTTTTATTTATTGTTATTTTTTAATTTTAAACTCCTACTGCGACTTAAATTCGAGGACAGCTTATATTCGAGGTAATACGGTATTATAAAATTTCAAAAAGCTTAATTTCGAGGGTAGGAATAAGGTTTATAAAAAATTGTAAATTTTAATAACCAGTAAAATCGACCCTACTGGAGATACACACGACCCTCATTATCTCCCAACCCCTCGATCTTTAATCAAAAAAATTTAATAGCAAACAAACCTCCCTGCAAAATTTCAGAAATTTTCGACAAAAAACACGGAAGTTATTAATTAAGCTTTTAATGGGTGAACAAAATCGTGCACCCCCACACACACTAACATTCATAATACAGAAATTACCTTTGAATTTTTTTTTCCATTTCTCGACGTTTCAAGATGTCTTCAGTCCAAAAATGTAAAAATCTTGGTGAGGTCATTTTTTTAACCGATCGCTATACTTTCCCTCTGTTATATACAACATCCTGGAAACTAAAAATAAGTGTTTAGACCTCTCTGTAGAGTGAAGTATGGGAAAAATCTCTACCATATTTCGTATACATTGGGTATGAGGGTTTTATTTTTGAGAAAATGTTTTATTTTAAAATTCAGTCGCTAGAACAAAATTTGGCGCTCTGTCACCTTAATATGTATATTATTGATATATACATTTTTACGAATTTCGGATAAAAAAGAAATTGCAAAGCGTTATTCCAAAATTTTTGACAGATAAACAACGTACTTACTTTGCTCGATCGTGCGTTAACTCTCGAGGCTTAAATTTTATTTAAATAATTTAACACGTTATGTGTTATTTTCTCACTGATTTATTCTTTTAAATAGCTTTAATATAGTTGGATGAATACATATTTAATTTGAAATATTGTCAACAAAATATGAAATCTAGAAATTAGGCGGATCATAATCAATAATGATTTAGCGTCGATTCATAATTGCCTTATGTAAATATCAAATTTAGAATTAACGTTAAAACATTTTTAAAAATCTTTATTGTTCAGATGGGATTATATTCGCTTATAAAAACGACGAATTAGAGATTTTATGTTTAGAATCAGAGAATTTCCAAAATCGTTTGTCTTTGCAGTCATTTCAAAATTAAATATTTTGGAAAATACCATAAACTTAAATTCTCTTTTGCAATGTTGTTTGTTCTCTTCAAGAAAAAAATAGTTTTTTTTTTTAACCTAGTGTTTTTTAATAATATATCAACTGGGGTAGTGAAACGAAAATTTGCTTAATTAAAATTGAATACAGATTTAAACACAATGTATTGATAATATTATTAATATAAATATATGATTTTTATTATTAATAATAATTTTAACTGTTTTTTTTCTTGAATGAATTATAATGAAATTAATTAATTTATCCAATTATTTATCTTAAATCATATCGTATATTTGTAATTAATTTATTGCGTTAAATGTTGAAAATTCTTACATTGATTTTATTAAAATATTTTAAATAAATTTTATAAAGTATTCTTTAAATATCACGCTGGTTAAATTCGAAACTAAAATTTTATAATTATTTTTGAAAGTTCATATTTCGGTCGCTAGGATGTATCGTGTCGGGTTGGGCAGCTTCGTGTTTTTTCTGTTCATAAATATAAACAAACTTTTTCCCGTCCTGAAAAGCTCTTTGTTCTCAAACTGTAGTAACTGTAAGTATCGTTTGATTACTTTTTCCGTTTTTAATTGTGATAATGTATGATAGGTTTCCACAACGATGACTTCGACGTTTCTGATAGAAATTGTTAAGAAAAGGAGAAAAAGGCGAACGATGTGACAAATATTTCTTTGTGTGAACTGAGGTTAAAAAAACACTTTCTTCGAACTTTTTTTTTATGTTTTGTGTTTCTGTGTTACAAGACAAATGCTGCTAACGTTGGGCTGTCAAAATGGATCCAACATTTGGATTGAGTTCGGAGTTCCCTACGCAGATACCTATTGGTACCTGTGCTTACAGCTTGTATGGTAACTTCGCTTTGGATACAAAACGTATGCTTGTGAATTCCATGCAGAATATTCCATCGACGTCTCTACAATCATTAGATACAAAATCTATTATCAATATATCTGCTTCTGGTGAGGAACAGTGTAATCAAAAAGGTAAGGTGGTAAGAAAAAATTTTCCTTGTAACGTATGTGGTAAAGCATTTACGCAGAAGGGAAATCTGAAAACACATATGTATTGCCATTCAGGAGAAAAACCGTTTAATTGTGAAGAGTGTGGGAAAGGTTTTACTCAGAGATCCAGTCTCGACTATCATCGCAGCGTCCATCTTGGTGAAAAGCCCTACGAGTGTGACATTTGTGGAAAACGTTTCACCCAAAAAGGAAATATGAAAACTCACAGAAATTCCCACACTGGCACTAAACCGTACTCGTGCGAAATTTGTGGGAGAGGATTTACCCAGAAGGGAAATATGAAAACTCATTTGCGCATACATTATGGAGAGAAGCCGTTTCCTTGCGATGTCTGTGGCAAAGGTTTTACGCTGAAAGGAAACTTAAAAACTCACATGCTCTCTCATAAGGGAATTAAGCCGTTTGTTTGCAGACTGTGTGATAAGGCATTTGTACAAAAACTTAGCCTGGAATATCATATGAATAGCCACACGGGAAAAAAACCCTATTCGTGTGAAATATGTGGAAAGAGTTTTACGCAAAAGGGTAATATGAAAACTCACATGCATTCTCACACTGGTGAAAAACTTCATACCTGTCAAGTTTGTGGGAAATGTTTCACACAAAAAGGTAATATGAAAACACACATGAAACTTCATTTACGTCCACCTAGTGTTGAGAAGCCATACCACTGTGGTGTCTGTGCTAAAGCATTTGTTACTAATTCAAGCCTTCAATGCCATATGACCAGTCACATGGGTCAGCCAAGTCAGCCACAGACATCTCTACAGAAAATTTCAAAGCCATGAAATGTTTCAAGTGCTCCAACTGTTATGCAAACTTTTTTGTTATTATACTTAGCCAATAAGTTGTTTGTAGTTAATATCCATAATAGAAACTAGTATTATTAAATAGTGATGAAAATTTTTGAATAATAAACTTAACCATCGCCAACTTATACTTATTTGTGAAATAAAATGTGATGATTTGCAATAACTAGAATAACTGCTACATAAAAATTGCATTACATATATATTTAGAAGTAGAATCATCTAATTAGCCATTAAGTAACGAGAAAAGTACAGTTTATCTGTGTTTTCCTATCATCTCTTTATGGCTAGCTAGCATGTCTATTAATGTTTCTCCTAGAGAAATTGCTTAAATTAAGAAATTTTAAGACCAAAGTTTTTGTCCTTTTTTTGTCTACTGTGATTATAAGTTTTATTGTATACAAAACAATTTGTTACAAAACTATGTTAACATAAGAATGATTTGTTATAGAATGTTTGAAAAAATTGTTTACTTTGTGAGAATGAATGAAAAAATTTTTTTAAAGAATTAAAAATATCTTATGAAGTAATGAATGATGATGAAGCATTCTTCAATTTATTTAATCTTTGAGACTATTTTTACTGGCATCTATGCAGTTATTGCATTATCTTTGTTGTTTTAATAAAAGTTTTTATACAATATTCAATTGGTTTGGAGTGTGCTTGAATTACAAAACATTTTTCTGATGGTAATAATTTAATTTTTTTCATTTTAACAATGAAAGAGGATTAAAGTGAATAAAATTAAAATGGTCATGATTTGTACTTTTTGTTAAATTTTATTTTTATTTGAGATCAAATACTTATGAAAATCACTGATTCTTACATATTATTATCAATAGTAGTCTGAAATAATTGAAAATATTTAATGCAGAAAAAAAATAAAATATCAGTTTGTATGTTTTATAATTTTTATGAAAATTCATTATAAATTTTATATAAAGATGCAAAAATTAAAGTTGTATAAAACAATATATAGTGTAAACATTTATGACTAAAAATTCTTTTGTGGGTTTTTACTGATTTTTGTTTTTAAAATAATCATGAATGAATTTATTGTTTTAGTAGTAATGAATCATCTATGATGTATATTTTTATTTTCCCTCATCTTAAATTTAGGTGTGAAAACATTTATCATCCTTATTATTAAAGGAACAAATTGGAAATGCTGAGTAAAATAAAAATTAATTTAGAAAATTCCAATATAGCAAATTTTGAAACTAAACCTTTGATGACTAAATTTCAAAACTACTATGTGGATCTCTCAATCTTTGTTGTTTACTATTGATACTAATGATTTAGAGTTAAATGTGTCAGAGTTATTTCTCAATTTTATTTTTGAATGGTATAATTCAGAATTATAATAATGACAAATTAAAAATAACTGGCAGAATAAGTTTTAGCATTGTTTAGAAATAACTTAGATTAGTTCTGAAATGTTTATTTTTTTTTATGTTTTCAAGAATTGTATTTTACATTAAACAAGATTATTCAAAAGATTCGTACTTAAATTGCATTTCCAAAGATTATTTTTCACTTTCATTGATGATTGACTGGATTTTGTATCATGTTACCTTGTTACAATATGCCAGTGACATGATTTTACATCATTTGGATGCTGGAAGTTCTTGGTAAATTGCACATGTTATTTTATTTATTTATTTTTTGTTTTATTTATTACTACCTAGAAGTGTAAGAAACATTTTAGATATTTTATTATCTCGGTTTCTTACTTTCCCAGGACATGTATTAATTACGAGGGCTATTTTTTAAATAAGGTCCGTTTGTGGATGAGAGTGAGATTGACACGCGATCGTGGCAGTGTGTATGTGCATCTGCTCCAAGCATGCTTTGCACACATTTAGACACCATTTGCAGCTGTATTGTCTGTCTGTGTGCTGAGCTGTAAAAGTTTATAATGTTTAAGAAAATTGAGCCACCTGCTGACTGAGATACAATCTGTTATTCGATTCTTGAGTGCATGAAACTTGGCAGCAGCAGAAATTCACCATCAGATTTGTGAAGTTTATGGTGATAATGCTATTATTGATAGCAAAGTTCGAAAGTGGGTGAGAATGTTCAAGAACCGGCAGGTTAATGTGCATGATGAGCCACACCCTGGCTGACCTTCTCTGATTTCTAAAGATTTGGTTTGTGATGTGGATAACAAAATTTGAGAGGACTGACGATTCATGATTTCAATGTTATCAATTGAATTTCCACAGGTTTCAAGATCAGTTTTGTATACCATTGTTTCAGAGAAACTGAATTATCGAAAACTGTGTGCTCGATGGGTTCCAAGACTGCTTTCTGACAATCACAAAACAAAAATATTGGACAGTGCTTTATCGTTTTTGACCCAATATGATCAGGAAGGAGATGAATTGTTGGACTACATCGTTACAGATGAGACTTGGGTGTCTCACATGACTCCTGAGTCCAAGCAACAGTCAGTGGAATGGCGACACACATCTTCACCAACCAAAGTGAAAGCCAAACAGTCCATTTTAGCACAAAAAATCTTTTGGAACAGGAATGTCTTTTGGAACAGGAAAAAGATTTTGCTAGTGGATTTTATGCCGAGAGGCACAACAATCAATTCTGATGCATATTGTGTGATCTTGAGAAAATTCCAGCATGCCATACAAAACAGTGTGGTCGACTGTCTTCTGGTGTGATGTTGCTCCATGACAATGCAAGACCACATGTTTCTGCACAAACACAAGGTCTAATCAGTTCTTTTGGATGGAAACAACTGGATCATCACCTTACAGTTCAGACCTTGCACCCAGTGATTTTCACTTGTTTTGATACTTAAAGGAGTTTTTTGGTGATTAACGGTTCAACAACAATGAAGAAGTGAAAACTACAGTTATGGATTAAGCTTTTTCACAGGCGGCAGATTTCTTTGAAGTCGGAATTCAAAAAATTGTTGATCGGTATGACAAATGTTTGAACAAAAATGGAAATTATGTAGAAAAGTAGATAAAAGTATGTAGAATATGCGAAAAAATATATTTTAATGATATTTACAGTATTTTTTTTCTTATTAAAAAACGAACCTTATTTAAAAAATAGCCTTCGTATAATAGTTTTCATCATTTATGTCTTCAGTAGGTGCTGGTGATTTAATTTTGTCATCATATATAATTATACAAAAATTACTCAAAATGAAAATAAAATTTTTCTTAATTTGTGACATACATCATGAAAAAATTAATTTGCATATTTGATACAACCTGTTTTCAATGGTGGAACAAAAGTGTTAATTGCCTTAGTTAATACAAATTGAATGATTTTTCTATTCTTCAGATCTTAAGTGAGCTGCTGAGGTTTACAAATTTCAAATAATTTTACTTTAGGAAACATTGTTGATTAATATGTAAAGAATTGTATTGGACATGTTTCATTACTGATACCTTAGTTTTGCTAAAATTAAAATCATCAAACTTAAGACCCATATAATGTAAGATTGAGGTATCTGATTTTAGTAAAATATTGAATACACCCACTAACTGAAATCAAAATTATTTTAAAATAGCTATAAATCCTTGAGTTTTGAAATCAGATATATGTAAATTATATCAACCAAATTTAATTTATAAGTTATGAAGTTCTAGTTAGATTTACAGTGAAAGAGAAAATAGTGGTGTCCTTATATTATCAAGACTTTAATAAGCTATAAAAAAAAAGCATGTTTATTCTTGCCTAGTGTATTCATAATTATCCTATTTTAAATAATTATTAAATGTATTATTGAAAACATCCGTAAACAAAATCAACTCACTTTAGAAATTAAACAAATTATTTCTAAATAATGTACATTTTGTTATTAGAGAACAAATAATGAATTTCCAAAGTATTGATTATTCAACAAATGTAGAAATAAAATTAATTGATATATTTACAAAATAGTTAAACTCCAAAAGGATTTTCTTTTAAAATGTATTTTAAATTTTTTAAGACCTAAATGACTGAATACTTTATGATCTAATTATTTATTTAAGAATCTTATTCCTATTACCCAAGAAAATATTTACTAAATATCTTTAGATGCATATTTTCTATATGGTTTTCAATTTATAAATCAGTACTATAGGAAAATCAGTTTCTCTTTCATTTTAAAGATGGTCCAGTTCCTTTTGGAAGTCTCTTTACTGAATTATTTATCTAAGTTGGAGAGCTATGCAAATACAGAAGCTTTTATCAGACTTAAGGAGTTGACATTTTCTCAACAAAGAATTATCAGTACTTTAAAGGAGGGAATTTTATATTTTTATTATATTTAATTTATTTTATACACAATTAGGAATTGTCAGACAACAGATGATATTCATCTCCCATTTAACAAAAATCTCCAACAGCAAAATACAATTAAAACCAAAAAATAACAAAGGATAAATATGCAAATACAGTATATATTAATGTGTAAATGTAACAATTTTAAAAAATTCATTAAAAAAAATAGAATGAAGATACAGTAAGATTCCACTTAATAGTAATTCGACATAATGCGGTCTACTCGAAGCCTAAAAAAAAAAAACCTCAAAATTTACACTTATTCAAATTATCACAGCATTTCATTGATTTGTATATAATATGATTATTTACTAACATGAACCAATCAGCAAAAGATGGCAATTCGTCATAGCACTGTAGTTTCCTTAAATCTATGTTTGTTTTGTGCAATTTTGGAAAAAATATAACATCATGGATGCCATAGGCAATGTTGACTTTGCTTGTCAAGAATTAACTGATAAATGCATGAACGGAGTGTGGAAGAAGTTATGGCTGAAGGTATCCAAGAATTCTCAACAAGAAAAACCTATTACTGTATCATTAGGTTGACCAAATCGTCAACCAAATTGATACAGCAGGACTAGATGAGTTACTGCAGGTTTCTGGTAAGTGTGTTACCAATGATGACTTTCAAGAACTGGAAGAACAAGGAATTCATGTAGAATTACAAAATAGTGATTCTGTAAACAAAGAACCCAAAGAACTTGCTACAGATTTCCTTAGTAAAAGTTTGGTAACGATAGCCAAAATCATTGATCAAATTGTAGCAAATGATCCAGATTTTGAGAGGAGTGCAAAAGCAAGACAAGGTGTTTTGGATATGATCTCTTTCTACCAACATTTGCTTAAGGAAAGAAAACTGACAAATGAAACTACACAACTTTATTGCAAAAAACAAGAATTTCAGAAGGGCGAGGACCTACATCACAAAAAATGAACTTTACATTTTTGTGTGCATATATTTGTGTGTTATTTAACATATATTATTATGCAAATTAATTTAAAAATAACTTAAAGTAAAATTGTTTATTTTTGGTTGTTTTTTTCCCTTTCCGTATTTATGTTAAAATGACCTCATTTAACACTGTTTCATTTAGTGCTTTGTGATCTAGGAAAGCCTCCCCTGTGTTAAGCAGGATCTTACTGTAATAAACTATCAATAATAATAAAATTAAAAAAAGTAAAATATTTCACTCCTTATCAAGACTGATCGTGTTTACATACATCTGAAAAATCATTTGATCTGTAAATACATGTAAGAATATTAAGTGATCTTTCAAAGGAATTTTATACAAATAAGCATATTA